GGGGGGGGTCTTCTCTTATCCAATAAGCTGAGAATAAGCCCTTAATTGATAAGTGCAGGGTTGGCTAGGGATAGGCATTGGACAAGCCTTTAATAAGCGCTTATTCGTGGTTTATCCTAGGCTTATCGTATAAGTCATGGATAAAATCAGGATAAGCCTATGATAACGATTATTAGCTTATCCATGGGTTATCCAAAAGACTCTATTGGCTTATTCTCGGCTGATCCAAAACACGCTACACGCTTATTCTTGGCTTATCCCAAAATCTGGGTTATTCATCATGGCCTGTCCAAAAACGAATCAATGATGGAGATACCTGGCACAATATTCTTTCCCGTCAGACAGGCAATCACATCCCGGCATGTTCTTGCACACCGTACATTCGCAGATGGGTGGAGTTCAAACGCCAGCTTTCGCTCGTTTGGTACCCCTACCCCTGCCCCTGCTCCGCTTGGGTTCGGCAGTCGGCGCCTTAGGCGCGGATTCAGCCGGTACGCTTGGCACCTTAGGCGCCGCCGGAGGGATGCGGCTGCTGGAAGCAGCACCAGACTGTGCATCAGCACGCTCGATGTTGGCCACGGCTTCATTGATAGCAGCACGAGTGGGCCTGCAGAATGACTCAGTTGCGCGGGGGCAACGGTTTCCTAAACCCTAAACCCTTAAACCCCTATATAAACCCTAAACCCCTAAACTCTAAACCCTAAACCCTAGATCCCTAAACCCCTGAACCCTAAGCTCCCAGAGAGACCCTTTCCAAACAGGGTTTAGGTTTTATTTTAGGGCTCAGGGTTGGTGGTTTATTCTATTTGGAAAGCATGTAACGGCCTCTTGTCGCTCGGATGCGTGAGCTTGCCATACTGCTCATGCAAATCCCAGATTTTCGTGATGACTTCGTACAGTGCCTCGCTCTCAGTGAGCATGCGCTTGATCCCGCCCCATTTGGCGAAGCGAGAGCCAGGGCCAAGACCAGCACTTTTGTCGACTTAGATGTGATAGGTTACGATACTAAACCGCGTCTTCCAAGGTTGCTTATTCTTTTCGGTTCTGTGGCTTTCTTAACGAAACCTGGAATCAACTTCTGACCGAATGCATTCTGAGGGACTGGGATAAAAGGCCTGGTACGATGTCGTCGCTGGGTTGCGCTGGATATAACATTCAGCGATGCGGCCACCGCCGGGTAGCAGAACGCACCTAGGAGAGTGATTGCGAGTGAGTAGCAGCTCATCATCATAGCAGAAAGGCAAAATGGCAGGGTTCAAGTTTTAGGGCTTACGGTTTCAACATTTACTTTGCTGTCCAGGCACAGCTCTTTAGGTGTGAAGTGCTTTCTCGGCTGGTTGGGCACTTCACTGGGTCCTGCGGCAGGTGGTTCGCATCGCGCACAAGACTCCAAAAGACACCGACATTACCTACATTTATAATCCGATGCTTCGACAACTCGGAAAGCTACACTTTTGAATTTCTTCATGTTCCACTGAAACCCTTGCCTCTGCCAGCTGCTTCGTCAGCTGCCTTCTGCTTCGCTGCGAACTTCCTGTTGAAGTCCGCTTGTTCAGCAACGGATCTGAGCCCCGAGAATTTTTGGGCGTTCTCCGGGTCTAATGCGCGAACCCCTTCCAGTATCTGATCAGCGACGTCGTCGGTCAAAACGGCATGGGGCTTTTTTCCGAGGATGCCTTTCATGATGCGGTCATACTCCATGGAGTCCACGGCCATGTCCGGGAATACCCGTTTGAGGAGGGCAGCCACGCGGTCCTGCTTGAGGATGGATCGATTTCCTTTCTTGTTCTTCGAACCCGTGGCCACAGGGGCATCCGCCCCGTTCGCAGCCGAAACCTTCTTGAGCATAGGGACGTCTAAGAAGAGACCACTGCGCAAGGACGCTTTTACAAGCGGTTCAGGAGATCGGAGCGGCACAAGTATGCAGCCGTGAGCTCGCAATGCCTTTGGCAGGCAAGCAGGCGGCAGCACCTTGACGGAGCAGGCTTGAATCTGGTTGTCCTGGACATCCACGGTGGTATTGAACAGCCAGTGTGGTCGTACTGTCTCACGTTCGGGGAACCGAAAAAAAAGCTCCACACCATGCTCATTCTGGTGCCGCTGCAAAGGCATGGCCAAAGCACAATATTTGCGAAAGCCCAGACTGAGAAAAGCCTCTCCACCAGCTTTCAAGATCACCAGGCCTTTGGCCAGGAAGACACCTGGAGGGCTGAAGCCATTGTAGGGTTTAAGGTTGAGGGGTGACGTGTTTATATTGGTGGTCCACGATGTCACAAGTGTCAGGAGGAGCCTGTCCAGAAGTCGGGAAGCTCTGCAAAGTTGTTCTCGTGGCACTCGGCCAACGTCAAGCTTGCAGCCACCATGCGCATGTCGGCCAAGGTTCCGCACACAGCCCACTTGTCGAGGACCTTAGCTATTCTTGCTCAAAGCCTGTGACTGCGAGCTTTCTGCTGCTACGTTGGCGGTTCGCGTTTCTCTAAGTTACTAGGTGCCGGAAACGTTTCACAAATGATAGCCCCTACGTTGTGTCCCCCATATCTCCGAAATTTCTTTTGCGCCCCTAGCAATTGCACGACAAACCGGGAAGCCAACCCCCCTGACCTGAGCTGAAACCTTCCTGGACCTGGCAACCAAGCAACTTGCTGAAAAGTGCCAATTTCCAGCTCTTTGCTAGGGCTTTGTGTTGCGCCGAAGTAAAGGCCACGGCGATTGTGAGCTTGTGGCGTAAAATTCATGTAGTCCGAAGGCACACACTCCAAGTGTCTATACCCGTTGGCTCGTGTGTGTTGACAAGTGGTGAGGTAAAAGTACTTCGACCATCTCGGCTGGGTCTTCATCGTTTAAGGTTTTGGGATTTAGGGCTTTGGGCCTTTAAGATCTAGGGGTGTAGGTGTATTGTAGGGCAATATAGGGTTTACGGCTCGGGGGTTCAGGGTTTAGGGCTACAGGCTCGGGGCTTTGGGCTTTGGGGCAGAGGCTTTAGGGCTTTAGGGCTTTAGGCGTAGAGTTTTAGGGTTTGAGGACCTACTTTTTGTTTACGTAACTATTTATGAATCTAATCACTAGTCACTAACTAGTAACATCAGTTGTAGTATCTATCTAGCTCTCTCAAACGTCCGAGTCCAAAACCCAGTCGTGCGACTTGCTCATTCTCAGCGAGCCTTTCTGTGATCGCTGCTGAACGTGGGTCAAATGAGCGAAGACGTCCTCAGCACTGTGTTTGGTGTTGCTGGGGCCGGCAAAGAGCCCAAAGCCCAAGATGCGAAGATTGTCGTCGTTCTTGTCGTATTGGGCGTCTCGGGCGCACTGCAGAATTTCCAGGCAGATCGGTGTAGAATGCCACCACAGGTCACGTAGAAGGTCGTTGAGGGCCGTGGCTACAGGTGTGTCGGGCGAAGTCCTGCGAATTCGATGTGCGACTGCCAGGCCAGCGTCGAGACGTTTGAGCCAAGCCAAAGACCACTGCCCAGCAGCAGCCTCGCCAAAGATGGTCGCCAGCAAGTATGGCGGGGTGAACGTGAACATTGCTTGCGACCAGGTCCTGTGCAATGAGAGAGAAATCGGTAGGCCCGAGAGCGCTTAGTTAGATGGCATGTTCCCAGCTCCTGGCTGCAGCCAGCTCCAGAAGCACGAGCCATGCCTCCTCCAAGATTGCGGCGTCTCTTTGCACCCATTGCTCGTCCATTGCAGCAGGTCGGTGCCCATGCCAAACACTCACCGTGAGCTCTTGCAAGAACTTCGTAGAATGAATTTTTCCCAACGTGGACTGGACGGTGCGAAACCAAGAGCCAGCGCTTCTGCCGGCAGTCCACTCCAGTTGAATCGCCTTCCATGGTTTATACACCGGGCACACTGTTTCACAGGGGGTAAAATTTTGTGGACATGCTACCGCGCCATGAGACATGCCCAGGGCCTGCCCCTGCTTTTGCTGCTGCAGATTGTTGTAGAACTCCTTGGACACATCCTCGCTGCAGAGGGCCAGCATCTTGATTCGCACCTGTAGTTGCCTTTGCTGGGTGGACACGTATGGTCAGCAGCACAGCAGCAAAAGAAGCAGCAGCACTAGCAGAGCAGTAACATTCCACTGTTCAGCTACAGAACACACAGCACCGGCACGCAGACCAGGTGCCGATCTTGGTAAAGTGTGGCGCACAGCTGGACATTGTTCTTGAACTTGCTGCGCCAATTCTGGAATTCGGCCCTGGTCGTGGGCTCGTCGGGATCCTCGTCTTCCGCCGGAGGCGCTTCCGGTTCGAACTCCTCGTCCATTTGCTCCTTATAAAGCCGAATGCAGCTTTGCGGCGGCAACAACTCCAAGATTCTTGATAAGCCAAGGGGCAGCAGCCAAAGCTGTCATGATCTCGGAAGAGATTGTCCATTCCCGGCTTAGGGAAAGGCATCTTTCAGTCAGACCAAACCAGCCTTTGCCCCGTATCTTAGTCAGGCATGATGGCACTGGATTCGCGTCTTGCTGAGGCGACTACGCATAACACAAGCAAGGTGCGTAAATGCCTCTTTTTTTGATGGCATCAGCATCCGCCCATTGCTGGATGTGCTCCGGCAAGTCAGAAGGATCAACTTCATAGCCCAAGTCATACCACATGGCGTCGGCCAGTTCAGCCCATTTCGCCTCATCGCCCGCATGCGTGCGGATGTACTCAGCAGCTGCTTCCTGCTTCCCCAACCATGTTGTACCCGACAAGTACCTTGGTGGCTTAAAGTGTCCCTCGCATCGTGTGGGAGCGCACGCAAGTCTGGGTGTGCGGCGGGCCATGTGAAGTGGTGGAAAGGATCGTAGCTTTGAGCATGGTGAGGCTCTGGCTTGCACGAACAAAAGCATTCCCTGCAAAAGTATGGAGCACTGGCGCAACGCAGGAGGTCGAGTCATGAGATGTCAGTTATATCCCTGGCGCATGATATGCAGCTGCGGCGCTGCAATCATTCCAGCTAGGGTGCGCGCTGTCCGGCTCAAAATAGCAGCGGATGATTCCGGCCAGGAGCTTGTAGGCTTTCACACCGACTTTCTCCTGGTCTGCAACCTGACTGTAAATGAACTGAGTTTTCGTCGACGGCAAAAGAGACGATGCCTAGACTAGATGATAGCCAGGTCACTCCCTTCAAGAGCGGGCGGTGTCTGGGATAAGCAGGCTGCAGCGGGATTCGATCGGTCGTGTACTCCAATTTCTGGACTGGCTTGAAATATTCTAGAGCTCTGCCCGTGGTGCTGAGAAGATTCGTGTTCAGTGCTCTCAGCATGACCTGTCAGGTCTGACAGTTACACAACGTCACCAGCCTCCGCGACTTACCCTGCCCGCCTGGACGTGCCTGAGGTTATGCTTCGTCTTGCGGACTTGGTTGCCATCTTCATTCCTGGCAGACTAGAGGCTCAAGTGTTGGGTTCAGTATGGTACTTGGGCACAGTGTTCTGGACTTGGGGTTGGCGCTTGCCTCCGAATTTGATGCTTAGCTTCTTTGGCTTGGACCCAGACTCCTAAGTTAAGCCTGTGTTTCGCTTGCTTAATCGACAAGACTGACTCCATTCGACTTTGATTCAACAAGACGGCAACCCTGAAAACAAACTCCAAGTGCTCCAAGGCCCCCTTTTACGAAGCCAAGCAAACCTGAACCCTATTCCACAAGCTAAGGCCCCGTCTCAACTGCGCCCGCTCGCTGCGCAGAGAACTTCGCACTGTGCTCAGACAGCTTGGTCAAGGACTCGGCGGAGGGGAGCTGTTTGGATTTCTAGAACATCGGCAAACGTCAACTGCCCAAGCAACCGCCTGCGCCTGTTTTCGTTTGTCTGCGTTGTGCATGACTAGTCAGACGTTGCGCATGTGCCCGCGCTGTCCTAGGTAGGCATCGGCCGTGTCCGACATTCCAGTGCACTAGTCGAGGTCCCTATCTTGTGAACTTGCTCCGAGGAAATTAAAGGTGCACGGAGGATGCGGAGAAGCCTTTTGAAGAATCCAAAAATGGAAAACACAGTCCTGATGACGTAGCAGAGCGGATCCTGATCAGCCTAGTGCTCTCGCTCGCAATCAGCAGTTCAAATGCTGGGCACCAGTTACTCGGCCTAGAACCACACACACGGCGAGCTAAGGCTTCTAGGCTTTCCAGGGAATCAAAATGCTGTAGCTTCCCAGGACTGATCGCGGGCCGGACATCACTTCGGCGCCGGCATCTTCACTTCCTCCACGACAGCCTGGGCGATGAGCGTCGAGGTGGCGGGTCCGCCGAGCAGTAGTTCTTCGACTAGAGTCTATAGAGTCTAGGCTTTTCAGTCTGGGTTTGGGTTGGGGCGTGGGTTTAGGCTAATGGTTTTGGTTGAACCTCGCTGTTTACGAAAAATCCTCAGCGGTCAATACAGTTGTTTGGGTTTCGGGAGTTGTGCTTCGCATCGACCTCTATAAAGTGTGCAGGGCTATGCTTCGCTAACACAATGTAATGTTGTACCTGATCATAGCGGAGCACTGCAAACAAAGAGCAAAGAGGCCGAGCACTGCAAACGGCATTTTGTTCAGAGCAGGCAGAGACAAGCCGAGCTGATGAAATCCAGGTGGAGGGGCAGCTGTGTCTGCACCCTAAGCTACTGGTCGTTCAGAATCAGCCGAATCCGCTTCTTGGCGTTGCCGCGACTGGAGCTCCGGCGGTTGCGTGGATTTGATGCAGTTGTCGTAGAGGGTCTGGAGGATTCTGCCCGGGACGACTCAGCCGCTGCAGCTTCCAGACCGGGTGTGGGGTCCTCTCCGAAAAGTCGGTCTATTTCTGCCTCGAATTCAGCCTCGCTGCGTGGGTTTGATGCAGTTGTCGTGGTAGAAGGCCTGGAGGGTCCCGTCCGAAACGACTCAGCTGCTGGCAGACGGGGTTCGCGATCCGGTCCGAAAAGTCGATTGAAATGTGCCTCGTGCTCAGCCTGATCGGCTGCGCACGCAGCTGCTATCCGGGCCATCATCGCCTCGTTGCGTTCTTCATCTGGCGGTGTGTCTCTGAGATCGACATTGCTTGCCGAGTCCAGCTGGTCCGCAGGCATCTCAGAAATGTTGACAACGAGTCCGGGGAGGAACCGTCCATGCATCGGAAGTCGGACCTGTATCAAACCTGAGTAGCCCAAAGCAGCGGCTACGCCCTCAGCAACACGGACCTCCGACTGGCTCGGTGGAGGAGGAGGGGGCCCACGAGGTCCACTACGATCAACCACGTCAGACGGCACTGGAGAATCCGGCTCCCCATCTGATCCATCATACTGACTTGAGATGTCTGACATCTCTGCTCTAAACTGCACCTGCCGCTTCTGAGCCCAACCTAAGCAGAAGTAAGCCCATGTATCATTCATGTATCTGACAGATCATACCCAGGCAGTCACAACCAGCAAAGGCCAGGCAGTCGTGGGTACGAAAGTCCTGCTCCCGAAAACCACGAGAGAAGGTTATCTACAATACTATTGACTATTGGCATAATTAATAGACAAGGGGCGGTTGTCTTTGCTTTCGGAGGCGGCTCGGGGACGTGCTGTCCGGCCTTACCTGGAATCGACGGACCTTTGCCTGATGGGGTTGGATTCGATGCTCCAGGCACTGGGGCTGCCTTAGGACTTTCGGTTGCCTTGGGAGTTCCCGTCTTGGGGGCCTGGGTTGGCACAGCTGCTTTCACTGGCGGGGTTGCCTTGGGAGTTCCCATCACGTCGGGGGCATCGGTTGGCACGGTTGCTTTCGCTGGAGGGGCTGCCTTGGGAGTTCCCGTCGCGTTGGGGGCTTCGGTTGGCACGGTTGCTTCAGGCGTCAAGGTTGCGTTAGGAGTCTCACTTGGCACCGGATCGGGGTTTGCCTCAGTTGCTTCCGCAGGAGGCACTGGGGGTGGGACTTTGGCATCAGGGGGTGGGGCTGCCTTTGGGGTGCTAGGCGGCGCTGGCACCGGATCGGGGTTTGCCTCAGTTGCTTCCGCAGGAGGCACTGGGGGTGGGACTTTGGCATCAGGGGGTGGGGCTGCCTTTGGGGTGCTAGGCGGCGCTGGCAGCGTGCTACCACCACTGTGCGGCGCTCCTCCGCGGCCGCTCAGCGCCTGCTGCAGGCGTGGCTGGAGCAGCTTTCTACACATCAAACCATGCTTGCTGGGCTTCAGAGTGTCTAGCCTAAACCGGCAGGCGAGATTATCACGGGACGGGTGTTCAGATTTGAAGCTTTGAAGCATGCCAAGGTTGAAAGGTTTCTGGGTTGTGGATTTGAGAGGCAGCGCTAGAAAGCATGCTCTAGTCAAGGTCAAGGCAAAGCTGATTGCTCATTGGAGCAAGCGCTATCTGCGATGAGGGACACGGTGCTGCATGTTACCGTTTTCTGACTGGCGCTCGCACTTAAGATGGCCGTTTTTTAAAAAGATTGTGCCGGATCAAATCTGGCTCTGTGCTCACCACAAAACTCTGCTAGCGTCAAAGATTGTGCCGGATCAAACCTGGCTCTGTGCTCACCACAAAACTCTGCTAGCGTTGGCTGCTGCTGCCCCTTTCACTCTCGCCCTTGCGGTCGTCGACAAACACGTCAAGCTTGCCCTCGTCGATCTTTGTTTCCTGCTGGGTCGGCTGCTGGGTCCCCCCGACTGAGTCTGAGTCTGCAGGATGCTTCTGCAAGGGCGCAACCGGTGAGTCCAAGTCCAACGAATTTGCCAGGCGCTTCTGCAAGGGTGTAATCGGTGAGTCCAACAAGGTGTGCCTGGGACCATGTTTCTGTAACTTACACACTCAGAGACCTGGAATGAACGTAGAGGCTCAGCCCGCGATCGAGCTTATACTGTTACAAGAATCAACTTGATAAGTATATCTATGTAACTTGACTATAGAACTAAAACCGGAAACATTTGCAGGGATTCACCTAGGAGCGGTGTGCGTCGCAGTCTCTTGACTGGGGCTGGAGTGGTAGGAGCCTCCTTCGTGTCGGACGCGCGTGCGGGGAGATGGTGTGCACATTCTCAATCTCTCCATTGCTGGCGTCAGCCCAGTGCTCTGATCTGCGAGATCGGGCGAAGGAAAAGGCGTCCGCCCAGAGGCGCGTTCCGGTGTAGTGAACTTTTGATTGTTCGTACACGCGCCTTTGGTGGGACTCTGACTCTCCTGCACATCAATCTGCGTTGCGTCCAAGTGGTCGCCCAGCACAAGCGTCGAGCAGTCCGATTTTGCAGGAGACCCATGAATGCTTCCGGGCGAGGACATGGCTCAGGGACAGGCTCTCCCCCTCCCTCCCCCCTCCCCCTCCCCTCCCCCCTCCCCTCCCCCAAGGAGTGCCGGCCTGACTTGGTGGAATTCCTTCTTTTGACCGCTCAAATTCCTTCAAATTCCCTCTTTTGAACCGTCAAATTCCTTCAAATTCCTTCAAATTCTGAACCGTCAAATTCGGTCAAATTCCAAGCCCCGCGCCCAGAGGTTTGGGTCGTTGCCCCGGCCCCACGCCCGCCAGCCCAGCCCCAAGCCCCAACCCCAGATTCAGATGAGGCCCCCTTCCCCTCCCCCCTCCCCTTCCCCTCCGCCCCCTTCCTCGACCCCCCCTTTCTCCTCCGAAGGATAAGCCAAGAATAAGCCGAGCATAGGCTGAGGATAGGCCAAGGATAAGCCGAGAATAGGCTGAGGATAGGCCAAGGATAAGCCGAGGATAAGCCGAGGATAAGCGGGAATCACGAAGGTACGGTGGGATCTGTGGGGTCCCCTTGGGATAGGCTGAGAATAGGCCAAGGATAAGCCGAGAATAGGCTGAGGAGCGGCCAAGGATAAGCCGAGGATAAGCGGGAATCACGAAGGTACGGTGGGATCTGTGGGGTCCCCATGGGATAGGCTGAGAATAGGCCAAGGATAAGCCGAGAATAGGCTGAGGATAGGCCAAGGATAAGCCGAGGATAAGCCGAGGATAAGCGGGAATCACGAAGGTACGGTGGGATCTGTGGGGTCCCCTTGGGATAGGCTGAGAATAGGCCAAGGATAAGCCGAGAATAGGCTGAGGATAAGCAGGAATCACGAAGGTAGGGTCCCCTTGGGATAGGCTGAGAATAGGCCAAGGATAAGCCGAGGATAAGCCTGAGAATAGGCCATGGATAAGCCGAGGATAAGCCGAGAATAAGCGGAATCGCGAAGGTACAGCGGGATCTACGCCGTAAAAGGGGTGGTGTGGGTAGGCTTAAAGGGGCCGCGGTGGATGCTGGCGGGGGCGCGCGACCGCGCGTGCGCGGTTTGCCGTTTAGCATCAGCAGCATGGCGCCAGCAACCGACCAGCCGGAAAGTCATCCTCCAAACCACCACCCGACCAGCCGGAAAGAGGGGAGGAGGGGTGGGCCCCTGCCCCGTAAAGCACACCAAACCACCGTGCTTAACGGGGGCAGGGGTTGGGTGTGGTGGGCTTAAAGGGGGGTGGGCGGTGGGCCCCTGCCCTGTAAAGCACGCCAAACTACCGTGCTTAACGGGTAACGGGGGGGGTTGGATGATGTGGTGGGCGGTGGGGGTGGGCGGGCGAGCGGGAGAGCCAGCCGGGAGTGGCGGGGGAGCTGGACAAGCTGAAAACAAGGCAAGCGTGCGGGAAAGGAACGGCAAGGGCAGGTGGGGAAACAGAAAACAGAAACCTTTATCCGAAGCAGCTTCCCCAAGACCTGTGTCGCGAAGGAGAGCAGATTCGAGCACTCAACGCTTTCGGACTCTCAGCCCCTACCTAGCAGGCACATAAGACATGCTCCGTAGCGTGTAGGGGCAGCACAGAATGCAGTGCGTCAGGAATCATTATTGAACATTACATTGCCAACACATGCGTGCACAAGGGTGCCTCCTGGAAGACGCGGCTGACCCAAAGCGGCTTGCATTGCTTTGACGCCGATGCAACGTAGTACTCGTCCAGATGCTTGCTGTTGGCCTAATTAGTCGGGTTGGCATCGACATGCAACTTGCTATTAGAAGCACAGGAGTTCATGCTGTCTAGAATCCTTCTTCTCCTGACCCAGCACCCAATCGTCGGCCCCACCAGTGGCACGTCCTGGCAGGAGGGTCGTCATGCCCTTCTCGTTGTCCTTCAGCTCCCACCCAGCGTCTGTGAACTTGAGGGAGTAGGCCTGGATTGCGGAGGCTTTCCTGTTAGGCGTGGGGACACAGTTTGTCAGTGTATCCTCAGGTACATCGTTGTGGCCTCCAGAAAGAGTATACAGTGACGTAAGGTTTTCTGTGATTACAAATCACACAAGTTTTTAGCCATTTTAGCTTATAGAGGTTGGAGTCTGGCGGATTGAATCCGTGCTGCTGTCCGAGTGCCCCGCAGCCTAACATACCCGCCTAACCTCGAAGCCAAACCGGAACCTAGACCAAACCAAAGCCCTGCATGCAGAACAACAGTCAAACCAGAGTGCCTGCTCCTCTTCGTCACTGCTCTCAGGAGCACCCTCGGTAGTCAAAGCATGTCCGTGTCCTGGCACAGGCATATTGTAGCAGTCAACGGTACAGATCTTTCTACAAGGAAGCTCCTGCAGGTACCGGTGCTGGAGCTGGCGGAACGCGAACTTCCGGAAGCCCATCTCCTGCAGCTCCTGGGGTTCAATGATGGCTGTAGGATATTGAGGCTTAGGCTTAGGGTTTTCGGGTTTTAGGCTTAGGGTGTAAGACCTCGCGCATAATTGCCCCGACGCTTGAACCCTATAGACGTTAGCCCCAGACCCAGACTCGACCAAGCCCCAGGAATCACATCAGTCAGCAGTACAGATCTCTCACATTCGGGTCTTGGGGTTTGGGTTCGGCTAGAGAAACCACGAAATTCAGTAGCCGCGGCAATGTTTTCGGGTCTTGGGCTTGGGGTTTAATGATTTGACAGGAATCTAAGGCTCCCGAAAGGCCTCACGCATAATCGTCCAAGCGCTTGAACCGTAAATTCTCCCTTTAGACCTTAACCCCACACCCTGATTCCTTCAAATTACATCAGTTATTGGCAATGACGATCTCTCTCCTGGTACAACTCCTGTTGGCGCTGGGCCTGTCACACCCGAACCGGGCGAGCCAGACAAGTTGGGCTCTGGAGCTCCTGCAGCTCTATAGTAACTACAGCGACGTTTTCGGATTTTGGGCTTAGGGTTTCGGTTTAGGGTTGTAGACAATTTAATAAGGCTCCGGAAAGACCTCACGCATAAGTGTCCACGCAGACTTTAACCCCAGACGCTGACTCAACCAAAGCCCAGGAATCACATCAGTGAGCAGTACAGCTCTCTCACGGTGCAAAACCACATCCTGCAGGCGCTGGGGCTGTCGGAGCCGAGCCAGGCGCATGGAGATTCGGACTTCCTGCAGCTCTAGTATAACTACAGCGCCCGTAGCATTCATTTCACGGGTCAACAGGCTCGGAGCTTTGTTGCCTTATTTTGGATTTCATGCTTCAGCACTTGGGGATTTTCGGGGTTAGAGTTTTCTGGGTTCAAGTCTTGGGAAAAGGCCAAAACGTAAATGCTTGGAAATCGACAACATCTTTTCGGGCATAGGGCTTGTGGGATTTTTCTTTTGGTTCAGGGTTCGGTTCAGGCTGAGGGTTCGGAGCTTAAAGGTTTTCGCATCTAGGGGTATAATTTAGGGTGGCGGTTATCAGTTTGTGAGCCCGGAACTTTTAATGGCCTCCACCCACAAGCCCCAAAACCCAGACCGGAACCATGGACCGTGGAACTTGCGACTATGTGCTCTTTAAAATCCGAAATTAAATGAGAGCGTGAGTCATGTATTCTCTGGGGCGTACAACACAGTCCTGCGTTCTGTCCTGCCACCGGGACCGGCGGCGCAGGCATCAAAGGAGCGGGCGCAGCTGTTCCTGTAGAGAGGAAGGCCAAAGACGGGAAGATTGGGAGGACAGGAACGGTTCTTGAAATAATTACCTGCACCTCCGAATCAAAGGAATGCTGCAGTTGTCAGACTGTCCTCCTGATCCTGTGTTCAGCACTGGAGGCTGAGGTCCTGCGGCAAGAAAGCTACACATCTAGCTAAACTGAAACAGGTGCGGCAGCATTCTCGGAGTAAGCAACAAACGGGTCCTGTTGCAGTCATGCCCGGCAGCATAGAGATCGATGCCGCTCCCACGAGCATGTGAGTTGGCGGGGTCGCAGATTCCCGATGTGCAGGGTCTGCGGAGCGGATTGGCGTCGGCGCCGGGAGAGGCGCGAGTGTTGGGTCCGGTCGCTCTTCCGGTGGCATGTCTGCACTCGCAGTGGCTGCTTCGTGGAGGTGGTAAGCCCGCGCTCTTGGGTTCAGAAGGGCTCGGCACTGCGGCTTCGCCAACAAGGCGCAGGGCTCCTGCGCTATGTTGACGACGGCCTGCATCAAGCCATCGCACCAAATGACGTTCGGCGCCAGTCTGTCGGCACCTGAAGGCTCTAAACCCTGATATCAGGAACCTTCACTACAACCCCAGAGACACGAGGCCACTGACTCACTCATTCCTGAAGCGACCCCAACACCCCTTAATCCATCCTTACTAGACAACCCACAATCCTCTGTATGTGCTGAGACTCTGGATTCGGCAACGATGAAACAGCGGCCCTGTCTGTTGAGGCGCAAGACATACTTGGTGCTGTACGGGTCCGAAACACGACTTGTTATGTCCAATTCCACTTGCGAGTTGTCAAGGAAGTACTGATTCCTGTCCTTTGTCAATCGGTAGCAGTCCTGGTCAGAGTGGCGGTGCTGGCGGTGATGCGAGCAGGAGCCCTAAAATTTTGCCACGTGACAGGGCCGAGCCCCCAAAAATCATGGAACAAAAGTCGGATTCTGACTGAGCTTGCATGGCTACATCTTACGCTGGCCGTCCTGGCCGCTCCACACCGCCATGGTCAGGGTGTGGATGGTCTCGGCGGGAATGAAGTCCCCGGGCCTTTGCCTCCGAGTGTATTCTTGAAGGAGGTCCAGGCCGGTCGCCTCGAGATCCTCCTTCCTTAGGCATTTGCTTATTATAAGGTTAAGGGTTATCGAGAGCTTAGGCATAGGCTTGGAATCTTGCGTCAAGCGAGGCAGTTCAGGTGGAGTATGGGACAAAGGACTCGGGGACTCGGTAGCAGCAGTGCAGTTGAGCCACTCCGGACTTTGCCAGCAGCGTCTTCAAGACGTGGTCCTAGAGCAGCGCAGAGATGATCCAAAGTTCTAGGACCCCAACGTCGCCTGTAAGCCGTAAGCCCCCAGCTACGACGTCACCCCAGGTCCGCGCATAGATTGTCTGCTTCTCACCATCCTTGGGTTTCGTCCTCCTTCTCTTGTCTCGTTTTCCACCGGCTCCGCCCGAGTCGGACACCATATCTGGAGCTCCAGATCCACTCCCCATTCCGGGTCCTCCAGATCCACTCGCCATTCCGGGTCCTGCAGCAAAGGATCTTAACCTGACCTAGGTTAGCGTAGAATACTAGCAAAACAAGCTTACAGCACCGGCCCTCCTCCGTGTGCGAGGTCAGCACCAGCCGCCATTGGCATCGTCATCGGTGTCATGTGGCTCCCGGTGCCTGCCATTGGGGCCAATGAGCCAGCATGACCCATAGGCGCCAGGGTTGATGCTGTCACCATCATCCCCGTCTGGGGGGGCTGTCCAGGTCCTGGGTAGAAGCCATAAGATCCGCCAGGATAAGCGGGATGACTGCTGGTGCTCGAGGCCATCATGGGAGGATGACTGCCAGGGGCCATGGCATGAACGCCAGGGGCCATGGCAGGAGGATGACCGCCAGGGGGCATGGCGGGAGGATGACCGCCAGGGTGCATGGCGGCGAAGATCTGTCAGAAACCCGCAAAAGCTTAGGCCAATGACGCTGAGGTGGATACATGCGGGTTGCATGCCCTCAAGAAAGTAGGTGCATTGCCGGAAGTCAACACACAGCCGGGACGAGCACCTCTGCCCCTCCCCCCTCCAATTTGTGTGTTTGCTATGGTCCCTGTTTCCTGTCGCGGGCAAGAGACAGCCTCTTCTGCACAGGTCTAGGCCGCGGGCCGGAAGCAAGACAATGAACCATCAGCACCAATGCAACATTCTGCAACGCCATTGCGTTGCCAAGCATGCACCCAGCCCTTTTGGGGTCTCGGCAGCCAACAGCTGGGACACCGCAGGCATCAGCGACATTAGCATGTCCCGGAAAGGTCATGGCGCAAAGCCTTGGCTGATACAAAGGAACCTGTGTTCATGCAACATCCCCATGATTCAACCACGCAGCCTTTCAGAACCTGTCAGCCACCGCTGCGCTGCCGGCAGCCAAAACTTGCCGGTGCCGCAATTCGTTCTAAACGTCGGAATTCTGTGGCCGACTGCCGACCACGAAGCCGTCCAAGAGGGGTCGTCTCCCAAGAAGTAAACGAGGTTCCAGTTCTGCCGGGAAACTTCCCGAAATCGCTCCCGGTACATGTCGTCTAGCTTCGCAACCGCTTCCTGTTCTCTCTGGTTCAACAGATAGGCCAAGCTGGGCTCGTTAGGACGGAAAGTCTTGCCCCGCACACCTGGCACATCACATATCCCTCCTGCCTCCTTTATATGGACTAGACTGACGAGAGCTTCTGAGACCGACTATCAATGAACTGAAAACAAGGGGCGGGCTGTTTCGAAGGCCTCGCACTGCACTTCGAACTCATCCGCAATGATGTAATCTTTGGGCTGCGTAGAGAAACGACCGCGGTTTCTCTCTGCTACAGAGCTGTACAGCTGCCCGGGGTCCATGATTTGCTGACACTGCTTGGATGCCAGGATGATGTAAAGTCTGCTCCTGGACACACCAGAATGGCCCACATCATCTGTTTTCACCTGGAGTGGGTAGATGTTGTACGCATCACCCAAAAGGCCATTCAAGATCTCAGTTTTGAAGTCCTGAATGTGCACCAGCGCAGTCCACTGACACAAGCCCTATATTCACTCGACGCATATGTGCAGCCAGGTCGCAGGAACGTTTTCGAGTATCGCCATAGGTATACCATAGGCTCGCAATCTGCGTGCCCACACCGCAAACAAAGGACCAGTCCCTCCCTGTTCGTACATACGTTTTATGTTGATGCGGGAATTGTCCACGCAGGGCAATCCGCTGACATCCAAGTCAACATGTGGCACTCTGCACGCACAAGCGTGCGTCAGGCACGCCCCGTGCTCCGCGCTGGGCGATGCGTAGACGGCCCGGGCATTCTCCCAGAAGCCTCGAACTGTTGCACAAGCACACAGGAGCACACACACACACACACAAGATACAAACTGCGCTTTGAAACATCGCACCAGCAAGCGAACAAGCGGCTCTTGGTCTCATCCACCACACCGTCTGGACACAGACTCATGACGTCTTCAAACAAGCAGGGCTGTGGAGTAGTCTCTTCCAGGACAGTGTCGACCCACTCATGGTTATCGATGATCGCCTGGTGGCAGGACTTCTGTTTCTCCTTGGGGTATAGAAGATACAGCAGCTCTGGTGACTGTGAAGCATGTCACGGCAACATAAAAACAAGATGCGCATCTAAGTCCGGAGCCCACGCGGCCTTGCACGTGAAGCCAGCCCGGCGCTCCAACACGCCCGATTGGTTGGCGATGCGGCACACCATAGCCAAAGCCATTTCAGCTGTGTACGCGCCCGTGCACATGCTGGATGTGGTGAGGGGAATGGAGTAGAATGACTCCTTGTCGCAAACACAGAAAGCGGAACTTCCCAGACTGCTGACTCAAAATGCACACGCAAGTCAGTCCTGCATCGCCTTTGCACCCACACGCTCGACGATATACTCCCAGGAATCCTGCCGTGCAGGATAATCTGCATCTTCGAAAACTCAGAAGCACATATCCCATACACGCCCAGCCTTCAGGCATGTCGCAACTCTGCTGAGGTTCTGTGTGTCACTGATGCTGCCCTGACAATCAACGCAGGTTGCTTCGCATTTGAAAACAGGCAACAACACACGTTGCGCACGGTCCTTGTTGCGAACGCGGCGGAAAAAATGGACCGTTGTCAAGTCCGTACAGGTCTCCACAGACTCTGCAGATAGGGATTCAAAGGAGCGCTTCGAAGCGAACATGATGGACCGCTTGTCCACTCACATGAACTCCTACTATAGTCTTATTGTATTTTATTGTCTAGAAAGTTCTCTAAATTGTAATTAAGCTTGTGTACTTGCACGAAACACGGCCTTCTGGGATACCGTGCAGCAGGACTGATTCACCCCTGTCGCCGTCTACATCATCTGAAGCCGAAGAGGGCTGCAAGTTTTCTGCGATGCCCACGGGTAGCGCACAACCCCAGCCAAAATTCCAAGTTGTCTGTGCAGCTGAGAACACGACCAGCGGGGGTCCAAAACCGCCCAATGCTTTCCAAGGGCCTGTCGCACAAAGGTTCAAATACTCATGTGCGCTGACAGGAAAACAGAAATCTCAGCCCGCTGCTGAACACCCAGAAAACCTCTGTCGGAACCTTCGCTATGTTGGACCCATCCATCGTAACCTCAGACGACTGACGCTTTGACAACAAAACTGAATGCTGCAAGGCGCACGCACGCAGGTCTGAGCTGCTTACATGGAAAATAGTTTGGTCTTCAAACTCGAGTCGCAGGCGTTCCGCATATGCCACCTTGCAAGTTGCAATTGTAGAAGTGCTTGCGCTGATCATATTTACTATAGCACCACCAGACGAGCTGCCATAGCCTTTTGCGCAAAGGAACCGACATCCATCCTTTGAAATCCTTGAGCTCTGCTGATAAAGAACACCTGCATGCAGCGAATGCACAAAGCACCGCCTCTTGTGAAGCTCATCCAGAGTACTTGCGAACACAAGCTTAACACACGGCCTCTCCGGCCCTCAATTTGCGAACAGACTCGATGAACGCACTCAGTGGCACCCGTCGCTGCGGCAGGTGCCGCAACTGCGCAGGCGGCAACCCAATCTTGAAAGCCTCCTGATCCTCAGCAATACGAACTCGACTGTGCCAGATATATCCGGTATGCATGAACTTACGAAAGCTGTGACTGTGAGACAAACCAGCTGTGTACAGAATTCACACAAGTCGCCAGACGTGCTGCCAACTGAGATAGCAAGCTGCAAGCCACAGACCTTGCCAGCGTGTTGGCCTGGTCTGGTCCCCCTTGCCTCGGACTGCGCAGCAAAAGCACAGCCACATGCAACCCAAACCTGCAAGCTATATAAAGGGACAGACGAGCTGCTCGATGCGAAGCGCAAATGCAATGAAGTCTGCCACATGCAGTGTATGGCTGGGTGAGGAAACTGTCGGATTGGACAGATCGTTCTTGGCTGACAGCATGCATGTCCCGGAAAAAAACAGAACAGTGACTTATCCTCCAGCTGAACCAAGAATAATGGTTTTGAAAACACTCAACACCAAGGAGCCAGCTCTCTCTGCCAAAGGTCCAGCAAGTGAAGTTTCCTAGGAAACTCGCCACTCCCCCAAATGCAGTCGCCTGTAATCGTGCCATTCGCGTGCACTCGGCACTCCTGCTGCTGGAAATCACACAAGTCCGTGCACACCACGTTCCACTGGCCGCTCGCAGCCAGCAAACTCACCAGGCAAGCTAGAAATTCATGCGCGCGGTACGCCGTCTTCTTCCTTCTGCCTTCCTCACTCAAGTAGCACGCCATGCAACTGACAAGCACGGAAGTAGGACTCGTCCTCTCTGGAAGGCAATTCTGCCGAGGCCCATTAGTAGGCATCCTGTACGGCGGTGATTCAGGTATGGCAACCCCGGGCCACACTTGCATGTGGTGCTCACGTACGGACTCTTGCATGCTGTTCGAGTAGAACTTGGTCTTCAAGTCCCGCCGCCTACTCGCTTGCAACCGGCGACGTTCGGCGTCGTCCTTATCATCATGTTTCTTTTCGCTGTCCTGGAACACATGCATGAGCACGTACGACATCACGAACTGCTTCTGGTGGCCCTGTAGAGCAGTTTTTCGTCAAGGATACACCGTCGCTTTGTGATCTACAGTGACCGCACACGGCCCCGCCTCAACCTCCCACACAGGAATCGTCCGGCCCAAAATGGGCAGCTGACCTGAGCATGAAAGGCACTTCCAAAGTTTGGACATTACGTGGGTACCAGTGCTAAAGGCGCTTCCAAAGTTTGGACACTACGTGGGTACCGGGGGCCCCAGCGTTCTTGGAGTGCCATGGCGTCTCCATCTAAGATGGCTTCGAGCCAGGATCTGCGACGTGCGACGTAGCTCCAAACGAGCCAAACCCCTTCAACCGCCTTTGCACAATAGGCTTTTGCAACAATTACTTTGCTTCTCTCAACTCACCAACTACCCCGCCGGACTGCATGCTTATCCTACACTTATCCTCTTCCTAGCTTATCCCTAGCTTATCCCTGGCTTATCCTTAGTTTATCCATCTCAAGCATGATAAGCTAATGATAAGCAAACACCCCCCCCCCCCACACCCCACCCCCCCACTTCATGAAAGAGTGCCAAGAGAATCAAAAAAACTGTTTCGGGAAGCATGCCGACGAGAAGACACTGAATTCAGAAAATCTTGTGCCAAGAAAGCTCCGTGCAGATCTTGCTTGGGCAGCTTGCACCGTCTTGACCGGAAGATGCGAGGTTCTGGGCTTTCGATGACTTGCACCCTAAACCCTGAACCTTTGGACCCTGTAGATTTGTAGTCCTTAGCCCTTCTCCTAAACTTTCTTGAACAAACCTCCACACCCCTTACATGCGCAAGCAAATTACAACCGGAGCCCCGAACCCCAGCTTCTCCTCATCCGTCTCGGGTCTTCCGGACAGAACCCTCCGAAAACGTGGTTAGTGGATTAGGGCGGCCGCTGTAGAAACCTGGTTTCCATCTGCGGGATGGCTTTGCTGATGTTCTGTTGAGGGTTGACAACTTCGAGACCAGAAACATTGAACTCTGTAAGGCCTTGTATGCGGCATCAGCTTTGGACATGGTGCTGGAGCCCAAGTCTTTGCGTTTTCGGGTGTTCTAACCTGCATCAACAACCCATGGAATCTCATATATGACAGTGTGTTGGGCTGCGCTGCCACATGAGTTCTTGCAGTAGTCCTGTGCCTACAGCGCATACGGCGCTATGCAATGTAGACCGGACGTAGACCCCTTCAAACATAAAACCGCTCAATCAAGCTATTGCTTCGCAAATGAGGGTGTCTTGTTGTCATTTTTAACACAGACGGGGTCTAAGGCTACATCGGCTTACACCTTCAGGGTGTAAGGCTTACAGCAACCATGTCTTCGGTACAAGCACCACGTGCAGCTATACAATGATTGGTGCTGTTCACCTAATACACCATCATCACATCAGAATCACTATCTGTGACGATCATGATAAGTCCAAGAATAGTGGCGTACACGTGATGTGGTGACAGTACGGGTAGACGTGACGACAGTTGTGAACACATGACGAGCATCTTACGGGAAATACTCACCCAAACTGCGGATTGCTCACGTCCAGCCCACGGTGACGTCTTGCCACTCATCCCCAACCCGAAGATCCTAATTCGGAAGATATCTTCAAAAAGTACAGCAACATGACAAAAACATACGAAAAGCCCTGAGTTCTTCTTCTCAAAAGTTCCCGAAGGCCGTGTGACTTCCCAATCACGGTGGAGGTGAAATTCGCTGGCGGGCCAGACCCTTATCCCGGGCTACTGACACTTTGGAGTTAGAAGATAGAAGAGCTCCAAGGGGTTTGGATCAACAGCCTTGAAGCCTCAGCCATAAACCAGTAAACGCAAGCACTCAAGCCATAAACCTTGAAACATGAAGCCGCGACCTGGTCCAAACCCGCAGCCCTTCAACCCTTCAATCCCCAAAAACCCCGTCTGAAGCCCAGCCCGGCCCCAAAGCATCCCAAAGTTCCCCAAAAGCTTTCATCCGCAAAGAGCCCAGGTTTGGTGCGGAGCTGCAGGCCGAATCTTCAGCACTCCGCGTCAGCGCCGTCACCGCCGGAGCCCTGCAGGAGTGGCCCGGGCGCCCAGCGATCGGGCTCTTCGCGGTTTAGAAGTTTGGGATCTTAGGGTTTAGGTTTAGGGGTTTGGGATCTTGGGGTTTAAGCGTTTAGGGTTTTGGGATTTAAGGGTTTAGGTTGGTATGTCTTGCAGGGCTCTTCATGGAACTCGCATGGAACCCAACCTCCACAGCCTTCCACCCAAACGGTGAGCCCAAAAGGCCTGCATCCCACATTGATGAAGCCTTCAAGAATGAAAACTCTCTCAACCGAGGAACCGTCTCCACCCTCTCTTGGCGGTCCAGCGAGGCGACCGCATCACGGCAGCGACCCGGCGCAACGATGACTTCAGGGCTTGGCTACTGGGGATTTGGGGTAATCGGTACACCAGGGTTTTTGGGGTTGGGGTTTGGGGGGACTGGGGATCTTGAGGTTGTGGAGGTTAGGGCTCAGACTTTGGAGTTGTGCATGTTTGTGTATCGGGTTTGGGTTGTTTTTTCGGGCTCAGGGCCCTAGGCGTTGAGGCAACAGGAGTGGTCAAGTTCAGGGCAGCGGCGCCGGTCTTTGCGTCCTGGCAGTTGACGCGGCGCGGGAGCTGTTGCAGGTCCACCATTCGATGGTGAGCATCCATCCGTTCATGACATCAAGACTGACCATGACAGTAATCATCGTAGTCAGGGCGAGAGCAAAAAATTGAAACGTCCAGCTACAGCTACAACTGTTACAGCTTCAAGAAAGCTTTGCAAGTGGGTCTCTCTGGTTCAGGCTGTCAGACTGTCTTATGCTGCCGGCTCAGGGACCTCACATCCGAAGCGCCTTTTTGCTGCAAGCCGGAGAAGTACCCATGGTCTTCACATAGCTTAATGCCAAGTCAGACGTGGCGACCGAGTCGTGGAAGGTGACGATAATCTTGAAGCTTCAGTACCCGAAAGTCCAAACCGAAGCGCATCTGCTTTAGACCTCTAAACCCTGACCCTCAGTCCCCGAACATTGTGCCGTTAGAAGCAGCGACGAACGCTTCCAAGTCCCAGGTGAACCATCGCAGCGGTGACACGCAGGCCTGGCAAAGGGAATCCCCAAAATTGCCCTAAAGCTTCTTTTTTGGAGGGTTGGGCACAGGGTCAAAAGCTTTGGGGCCCTCCCAGCTTTCTGGGCTTTTGGGGCCTTTGGGGTATGCCGAGGTTTTGGGATGTTTCATGTTTAGGTTCAGGGTACAGATCTGTATGATGCAACACCGGAGTCCAAACCGTTTGCTTGATTTGGCAAGGTGTTTTGGAAACCAAGAAGCACAGAGGCGAGATGCATGTGTGCAAATGACAAGCCTCCAGGAATCTGAAAAAGATGAGAAAGAGAGATCTCCATCAGACGGTCTTCCTGCTTCACAGATGCTCGGGTCTTCCGCGCACCTGTTGTGTTATGTAGGTGGACACCAGACGATGCAAGAGTGGGACTGCAAGAGCCGTGCAAAAGGGCTTCCACAATTGCCAGACTCAGACAATTTGAAAAGAGCTGCCTCCGCTTCGCATAACGGGGCACGCTTGCTGGGTGTTGCTAACTTGTCCGACAGCATAGGACGTGCGCAGCACAGCAGGGCTCCATGGTGCTCTGCTTGCTGCCAGTGCCGACCCTCGCGAGGCGTGTTGGAGACTGGCGCTTCTTCTGAGGCTGCGAGCTACGTTCCGCTCATTTGGCGCCGATGTTTTGACGCTGGCTGCGGCTCTCTGCTCTGGGACTCTGGATGCTGAAGGGAACTTGTTCGGACTTGCTTCCGTCCGGCTTGGGCAGATGGCTGAATCGCTGTGAAGAGCTGATCAGCTTGGCAAGGGCAATGATGGCTGGCAGAGCGTCCTGAGCATCTATGCCGTGGGATAAAGGCTGACCTGGCACCCCTGAACAAATCAGTGCGGCTGCAAACAGAAGACCCGGACTGTGAGACAGGTGGGCACGCCTTGCACATCAGATGCTCAATTCACTCAAGGGCGGCTCCTGGACTTAATGCAAAAACATTGATTACATTCGCTGATTGAAGAATGGATGTCGCCGTCGTTCTGGAATGATTGCTTGCATGGAAAGCAGGCATACCATCCAGAATCTTTGGTCAGCACCCTCTATGGTAGTTTCCAGCTTTCTGTCGCATTCGGACACCTTGGTCTCTGGCCGGAAAGCCTTTACCCATCACCCAAAGAGAGATCAGCAGAAACTGTGAAAGAGCGATGCCAACCTCTGGAATCTATCCGGTGCAGCTGTCTCACACAGAGATCTTCTGCACCTTACTGGCCCAAAACGGCAATGCAGAGAGCACGGGCTGTGTGGGGATTCGAAGGTTCTAGTTAGGTCTAAAGCTGTTTAACGTCAGATTTGCCCGAAGAACTGGTGTGACCTGCGGGTCTTTCTTTCGGCTTTGTCATGGGTGAATGTGACACGTTCCCAGCTGTGTATGCTCCCAACCCTTAGCTCTAAACCGTTTTGTATTTGGTTTTATGTCAGCCAATTAATTGCATAGGAGTTTCATACTTTCAGGGGACACCAGTATGCATCCTCTATTTAGGATCCTGACCTGGTAGGGAACCCTAGGGACCCATCTCGACACGAAACCTGCAGCCAGGAAGGCCTGCCCCAATCAACTTAGTCGCCTGAAGTCGCATTTGGGGTGAGAGGGTGGCTCTCCACATAGCTCAGTATGTGCTTTTTGGCCTACATACTGTACTGTTCTGTGGAGCCCTGAGAAGAGGTTGCTGACAAGAGAGAGTTGTTGGTGGGCTGGGTTTTGACACGGGAGGTAAGGCGCCAGTAGACGGCCCTCATGTAACCCTAAACCATCCCCCAAACCCTGAGCCCCCAATACCCTAAAACTTGGATGCATCTGCCTGTGTGACTTGCAGCACGGCTGTGTTGACCAGTCCAGCGTCAGGTTTCGGCTGCAATAAGTTTGTGGAATCCGCTGCTCGGATCGACGACCTGTACATCTTGCATGCAGCACTGCACTTTCTCTCGGTTGCTGTCAGGGGACGCCTCTAGTTCAGAATCAATTGACCCTACAAATGACGAGAGGTTGCTAGGGTATATGCAGGTATATATGAGAGACGAATCTGTCAAAAGTCGCCTGACAGCACGCAAGCTTTCAGCAGTCCCCTCTCGATCCAGTACTTCAGTCAAGCTTGGAGCATCCTAAGGCAATGCTGCTGGAGATCCAAGCCGCGCCCCCGATCGGGTTGAGGATGTCAAGCTCTGATATCTTCGGTCCAGTTTTGGTGTTCCTCAGCAATACTAGAGCTCTTTTCAGACCCGCAGAGATACACAACTCTCAAGACACCTTGGATTGAAAAGGGGAGATGGAGAGAGCTTTACAAGCAAAGCCCCAAGCCTTACACCTGGCAGCCCTAGACACGCGGGAAAACCTGCCCAACTAAATCCCGACCGCGATGTAGGCCCGAAATCCTTCACCCCATGCCCGCCGAGCCAAGTGTCCAAAAGCCAAATCTGCGGGCAGAGAGATCTGGATTGGAGCTTCCAGGGCATCAACGGCGTTCACATGCCTTTTGTTCAACTTCGCATGATTTTTCAGGTGAAGAACTAAGCTGTGCATGGCAACGGAGGGATCCAGCTGCGTGTGACGCTCTGCTGTTAAGGTCTATTCGGGCAATGCCACAACTAGAAGGTATCCGTTGGTAGGCTTTGGCTATAGTTTGGGCTCTTGTACCCTTCGGGTCAGAGGCATGGCTTTCCAAAGCTGCTGTGACGATACTTCTTTATAACACTGACTTCAAGATGCTTGGTTTAACGAGCACAGGTTGAAGAAGCCCAGCTCAGCTACAAGCTGGGTATGCATTTTTGCCGTCTTGAGGCTTAGCAGTTCATGGACCAATCAAGATAGCGCATTTCTGACCCGAGGCCGGCGGGGTGCTTCGGATGATGGTCAGGAGCTCCTGAACCCTCGATCCTAAACCATTCCGGCCGGGTGTAGGATCAAGCAACTTCCAGCTGTTGCGACTCATCGCTTTTGGGGTCTGATGTTGATACTGTTGAGGGGATCCGAGGCTTCTGACGGGTTCTGGAGGCGTTTCGGATTTTGAGGTTGAGTGCCTAGATTCGGGATTTTATTTTTTAGATGTTGTGCTGTGTTCGGCAGAAAGTTTACAGCTTGAAGCCTTAAGCTCACAAGCCACTAGCTTCCGCCAGAACAAGCTTTATTCCTAACTCTGTTTCCGAAGCGCTGAGAGCCTTGAAGGGTTGATCCCCCGGTATCTCGAAGCGATAACCTTCATTGACCGCAGACAGCCTACTGTCCCAACTCAACCAGGAGACGCGAGAAACCTGACAAGCCTCAAAGACATCTTTACGAGACCGCATGGGTTACTTTCGGGACTGCACTGACGGATCGAAGGCAAGACTTGCACCTAAAGCTGTTCAATTGCCACTCCAGACATCAGCACTTCACCGACAGAGGAGATGTCTTGGATCGGCAGCACTCAGCTACTGAAACCCACACGCTCGATGAAGCAAACCTCTGACTGCTTCGTCAATAAATCTTGTCCAACGAGCAATAGTATTGCCACTTCGAGATGTCCCCTCACGGCTCCAGCCTGAAGCGGAATACACCAGTCGGTCCTCGACCCCTAGATCCTGGAAAGCCTTAAACCAGTAGGTTGAGGATTCGGGGTTCAAGTCCGCAGGAGCCCTACCCCCCCACAACGCTGAACCTCTCAGAGTCCCAAGGAGCTTGCGCCGCGCCTCTGATACGGCCTTGTTGGGAGCGCTTCCCGTGGCGCGGGGCAGCTCAGAGGATTTTCAGGGCTCAGCAGTTTGTCTTCGGAGTTAGGGTTTGAGGAGTTTGAGGGCACGGGGACAAGATCCTATGATTTCTGCGATTTGAAGAATCAAGCACCGTGGTGAACCTCAAAAGAAAACATCGTAGATAACCAACCCCGAAAATCATGAACACCAAACACTACACCGGAAACTCTAAGCCGCAAACACCCCCATGAGCCCCACGAGCACCAAGAAAGACGCGAGGTCAATGAAAATGCCCGCTGCCGAGGACAAGAAGAGGTGCACGAAACGGTTAAGGGGGCCTGAGATGAGCACAGAGTTTAAAAGGGGGTTTATTGTGTTCAATGAGTATAGACACGAAAAGGGCTTGTACGGTTGTGTTTTCGGAGGGTTGTTGTAAGGCGGGGCTTATGGATTTAGTTTGACTCGGGGCATGGATCTGCATTCTACATGAGATCTAACGGTTTGGAGCTTTTGGGGTTTAGTGTTTAGAATTTAGGATTTTGGTGTCATTTGCACGTTTATGGTTGTGGAACCCCACTAGTGTAAATCAAAGCATAAAGGTATTCTTGGTACACGCTTGACTTACGAATGGATGCCACTATAGCGTTCCATTTCTTTTGCCCTCGTGTCCTCATCATGCCTGTGAAGTTGCAAGGTTGCGTGTCGTAGGAAGAGGAGCATTTGGGCTAAACATACGGGCCTGAACTGTGACGTACCGATACCTGCCTAGCAAATCAACAATGCCACAATATCATATCGAGGATTGGGCGTAGGCAAGTTTTGGTGCGGGTTCTTTGAGAGTCACCACCATTAGGCCAATGCTCGGAAAGCCTTCCAAGCACAGGCAAAGCCCTTTCACCTTCCACTTCAAGACCTAATCCCTGGCTGTGTAACGAATCAGAAACCTTGGCCCCAACACTGAAGTCGTCAGCCTTAGAAGTAAGTTTCGAAAGCCTTCAACCCCAGATTCTTCAAGCAACCCTAGAACCCGCGACTCCACAATCCATGCTCAACCCATGGGTCCTACATCCTGAATCCGCTATGCATCTCGCAGACCCTGACTTCAACCTGAACCCTTAGGCCTCAGCAATGGGAGGAGAAGTAGGAGGTCAGCATTGCCCCGAAAATGAAACCCCTCGGATCCTGAAGCCTACACTCATGAAGATGCCGCTTCAGACCATTGGATGACGATGGGAACTCCCTGTACGCCGGCATGCCTGCGCCACCCACCTCAGATCTTGGGGCAAATTGCTGCGTTGAGGGGTTGTTGGGTCCTTCGGAACCTCAACAGACTGCTGGCTTTCATGCTTTAAATGCAGCACCAAAACCCCATTAAGCAGTAGTATGCATCGACCTTTCAATAGGGCAACAGCGGCGAGCTGGAGCCGCAGGTAATGCTTGAGACTTAGTTGAGAAGCTTCCGGTTCTGTGGCATAGCATTTGGTTCCAGATGGTCTGAAGCGAAAACGGCGGCCAATCACAAGCGCAGTCTGGACAGATAGAGTCAGGGGCTGAAATTAACAGATCTACTGCGCACAGAACTGTTGTGGGGTAGAGTTTTGAAAGTTTACCCTTTTCCCTACATGGTGACTCGGGTGTTGTGCACATGCCTGGCTTTCAAGATAGGGCCAAGATTAGAAAAGCAGAAACCTTTAGCCCAGGCTGAAGCAAGAAAAATTTGCAAAACGAAGAAAGCAAATTCGAAAAACCCAAATAAATCGAACTGGGATAAACATCGATGCAAACGGCTAGCGAAGGCAGCCAAAACCGTGCCATACACTGAGCACCAACTGCTACGGCGGCTATTGCTCGAGCTCAGGCCAGATCCCGTGAAGGAAAAGAACGCGAAGACCCAGACGAAGGAATCGGCCAACTGCTTCGTTTGAGTTGAATCGTTTTGGCTTTAGGCTTTAGGCTCACGGTTCTGAGTATTGCGTTTGATGTTGGGGTTGAAGTCTTGATGTACATCCTGCGTCTCCTCCGGTCAGGAACAAAAACGCCACAAACTGTTTCTTTAATGTTTTTGATTCGCAACAAACCTTCTTGCTCGATCTGTCGCGCCTAAGCCCTCGACCATAACGCTGATTTGTGCAGCATCAGCAGCAGCAGAGATTGTTAGCAGTAGTAGTCCCGAAGCCCTAAGCCCGAAGTCGTAGAGCAGCAGTCGTCGTTGTCTTCGTCGTGGTGATGGTGTTCTGCTTGTAAGAAGAAGCCGCCGAAACGGGTCTTTTCACAGCTTTGAGGCCGAAATGCCTTAAGTACGAGACCCAAGCTGCTAGACTGTACTTCGTAAGAATTGTAGCGTCTGGGGATTTGTCTGATAAGGGTCTTTCTCGTTCTGGCACAAGCTTGAAACTTGATGTCAGGATGTCTTCGCAGACCCTGCCGCCGCGGAGGACATAGTCTGATAGGGCGTTTATTTATGGCTTATTGCTTTGAGGTTTAGGCCCGAGGGTTTGCTTGAAGGTAGAGGAGGGGGTGTAAGTCCTGCCGAGGACTTCGGAGCTGCTCGAACACATGGCCCGATTGTCAGACTGATCTAGCAGGAATCGAGGAAGCGGCTACTTTAAACCGTCTTCTTTCAGGCTCCTTGCGGCAAAGGACATGGAAGGCCAACCAGAAGAGCCTATTATAGATCAAGCGGGAAGAGCCGCTCGACTCCGAAGCAAAGGCACTTCCAAAGCCTGCAACGGACCCACTTTGAGGGTTGCCTAGTGCCGTGGTCAACCGTTGAGGCTTCGCAGTTCATAGTTAGCGCCTGTAGGGTCGAAGGCTGTGGGTCTGTAGGCTTGTTTGACAAAGTTGGGGGAGTTTAGGGTTTGAGGGCATGTAGTAAGGATTGAATCTCAGTCTCCCAAAACGGAAAGTTCGTTTTCCCCGCTAAGGAGCCTGAACCTTGGCATCTTGAAACAAGTATTTGGACATGCCTTCAGCTTAACAAGTACGGTGTTGCTAGGATTGGCTGCGGAAATTTTCATGTTTTTGACGGATACCAAATATGCTCGCTACCTCCCATTCCGATCCGCACCTGCCCTAGATCGGGGGCTTAGCGTAACACTTCGGGTTCCACGGCAGGACCCAACATCCGTCGTCTTCCTCGACATCGACGGCGTTCTGCGGAGGCTCTGCATGGTAGTTGGGGCACAGGAGATGAGATAAGGACCCTAAACCAATCGCCCCAACCTGAGTGCAGTACTGCAAGGATCCAAGGCGTGCATCCAACAGGAGCAACAGATTATGACCATCCGACGGTCGACATTCCAGGCACGGCAAGCTGCAATACTCTTATCCACTGCAGCAGTAAAGTCACTGTAAAACCACCATCGAGCATGAATCCTTAGAGCTTTAAGCAATGCGCGCGAACTAGGCCCGTAATTTATTCAGCCGTCTTGGAAGCGATCAGATTCGGAATCCTGACTCATCCTTTGAGACAACTAGAGTGCAGATGGCACTTAGGCATGGCTTGCGACTTACTCTAGTACTCTAGTATGCTATTAGGCTATTCACAACTATTTCGGGGCCCTTGAACCGCAACGCAGCACTGCAAAGGAACAATCGGTTTGCTAAATCGCCGAATGCGAACGCCTACAGGACCCTCGTGACATAACTCAATCCAGAAATGCCATAAGCCTACACAGGACAACTGAGTCAAGCGAGGTCGGTCGGCAAGACCCTAACGGGACTAACACGATCCAGGCTGGAAAGCGTGCCAGTGATCACCGTCGAGGGTGGCGTGCTGCCCTTGAACCTGCAGGGGGCCCCAGCGCCAACTGATTCCCAGAAAGGTAACGGCTTTTGGGCCAAGGGCATGTAGGGGATTAGGGCTTTTTGTGGTTATGGAGCTGCATGGAGGTTCTTTGATGATGCACTGCGGGCCCAGTGCCAGCCTGCAACGTAAATCCCACCGATCTGAGACATGTTGCGTCTTCGGTTAACACCGGCACTACACCGAAAAGGGCTCATAGATGGAGGAGTTCGCGCTCAAAGGCCCGAACATAGTGCGTCTTTGGGTTCTTTTTGGGCCTTGGTTGATTCCTGATTCCCCCGAGTGTGGCGGCTCACACATCTGAAGGACGAAAACGAAAGCTTTCTTCAGGCGTTGGAGCTTTAGGATTCGTGATTTTCGGCTAAGGGAACAGCTTTAGTAGAGCTGCTGAGCCGAGATGCTCGATCATGCAGAAGGGACATGAGCCATGCCAACTTGTCAGGATATAAAGCATGTTCTGACTACTGCCGTTGTATAGCTGTACTTGGTAGCCCCTTTTGGCACGAGGTGAGTAAAATAAGTAGCCTGTGCCTGCGGTGTGTGTGGTTTGAGGGTTAACCTAAACCCTTGCATGGTAGCGGAGCCGGACGTCTAAGGGACTCCGTGCTCACCTTCTGCGGGTCGCCCCGCGAAGGTAAGGGACGCGGGTAAGCCCCGCTCCCTGGTGGTTGCGGGTCAGCCCCGCACCACACGTGACCGCGGGAAGTCCCGCGTCACAGGAACCAGCTGCGGGCCGATCCGCGCTGGTGTGGGAGCATAGTCCTCCCGAGTGCTGCTTAGGCAGCAGGTAGACCGCCAAGACGGCGGGTCGAGGTCGCGGCAAAGGAAAGCCGGTGACCAAGAAGAAGAACAAGAGGGGGAAAAGAAGTGAAGCGGCCACCTCTAGGAGGCAGGACCGCGGGCAGGCCAGAAGGCTTGCAGCCGCTGAGGAGCGGCAGGAGCCACCAAGAAGCCACAGGGCAGCCGCTGATCCCTCGGCCCGGGGGTCAGCTGAGGCAAGGGGCCGAGGTCGTACTCCGAGGCGGGTGGTTCTAACTTATAGCCTGGAGGAGGCTCAGGAGCGAGACCGGATCCTCGGGACGACCGCGGCCAAGAGCCAACCAAGGAAGCCCAGGCAGACAGAGGCTGGGTACGAGAAGATCAAGTGGAAGAAGGAGAGGCGACGAAGGAAGGAAAGGAGCCGCCTCGACCTTCGATCGGTTCCTCGGGAGGCTCAGGCAAATCGGGTCCTGAGGTCGGTAGCGCCGACACGAAGCAAGCAGGCTTCGGGGCGCAAGAGGGACTTAGAGGAGTTCCTGACAGAGCAATCCGCTCGCTTTGCGCAGCAGAGGTTCCGAGAGAGAGTGGAGACCCAGGAGGCCATCAGGAAGAGGCTTCCTAAGGGCAGTGTGGGCGAGGTATTGCTTAGGCAGCGGGTCGGCGAAGCTTGCAGTACCTGCAGGACCAGGCGTCGCAAGGCCGCCCCGGCTGCGCGCAACTACGTGCTTAGGAGGTTTTCTCCTAAGGCCTTGGCCCAAAGGGTGCGGAGGCCAATCGGCACCGCACCGAGCCCCGACCAAAGGGGACCGCTCGAAAGAGCAAGGCCAAACCAAAGGCCACGCCAGCCCCTCTCCTAAGAGGAGAGCAGTGAGAGCTCGGATGGAGATGGAAGCGGGGTTGATTGGGACCCCCCAAGCTCCCCAGATGGCCCAACAGGCGGGCCAGGTTCCGCTGGAGCAACAGCTCCAGCAGCAGTTGCAGCAAACTAACCTGATGCTGCAGCAAATGAACAACAGGCTGGTGACTCAGGAGGCCCAGCTGTTGCAGCTGCAAGCGTCAGGATTGGCGGCCCGGGGAAGGCAGAGCACCTTCGATACCGACATGCCGGGCCCAAGCCATCCACCGGCCCCAAGGGCCGGCCTGGTAGACACCAGGCAACTCGGGAAGCCCGAGGTTTTCAAAGGGTCCACGGAGGAAAGCTTCAGTGACTGGTCGTTCATCTTTGAGTCTTACCTTAGCTGCATCGACTCGAGGTACATTGACCTGCTGGAGCAAGCAAAGTTTTCCAAGAAGAGCTTCCCAAACAGGGCTCTTTCGGATGTGGACCGGGACCTTTCTTGCCAACTCTATTATATCTTGGTGATGCTCCTGCGCGGTAGGCCGCTTGACATCACTTACAACACAGGCCTCGGAGAAGGTCTTGAATCCTACCGGCGCATCTTTGAGGAGTTCCACCCGAGGGTTGCGTCACGCTATGTGGGCACTCTCACAACGTTGCTTTCAAGCAAGTTTGGTGATGATGTTGAGGGGGACTTAGCGGCCTTCGAAAAGAGCGTCCGGAGGTATGAACAGGAGAGCGGCAAAACACTAGATGAGGAGATGCTTTTGGGCATTGTGGTGAATGGGCTAAAGGACAGCAGCCTGCAAAGCCACATCATCCGGAACTCAAGCCGGCTCAAATCCTTTACGGATGTGAAGGCGGAACTTTTGGAGATTTCGAGGACCAACCGCGTCCTGCAGAATCTCCCGCAGCCAATGGACCTTGGAGCTGCACCGTGGAAAAAGGGCAAAGAGAAGGGCAAGGGCAAAGACAAAGGCAAAGGCAAAGGCGACAAAGGGGGTAAAGGCCAAGGCTCAGACAAGCAAAAGCCCCAAGGCGCAAACCCCAACAAGGACCGTGAGTGTTGGTACTGCCATAAGAAAGGGCATGTAGAAGCCGAGTGTCGCAAGAAACAAGCCGATGCCAAAGCCAAGCCCAAAGCTAAAGCAAAAGGTGGCGGGAAGAACCGCACACCTCATGCGGCTAGCCCCGCTGAGGGCGAGGAAGAACCAGAGCCCATGTCTGCATCGCCTCAGGAGCCGGACCTTTGCTTTGGTGTGGTGGCGGCAACGCCCAGCACCGAGGCCAGTGAGACCGAGGTTCTTGTAGATACGGGGCAGGGTCTCACCTGTTTCGGAAAGGGTTTGACTCCGGTGCTTTGTTGGGTTCTCGTGTTTCGGGGCCTGGAATGGTTACCGTTACGGGTGAGCCCTTGGCTAGCGACCAGAGGCTTAGGAGCCAGCTCGAAACCAGTGCTGGGACCTTTTCGGTAGAGTACGCTGAGTCTGAAAAGGTTAGGTTTTCGGTGCTTTCTGCTGGCCAAGCGGCCACGAAAGGCACCTGGACGGTGATTGGCCCCGGTGTGCAGTGTATGGTTCTAGATAAGCATGCGTGTAAGCTTAGGAAAGCCCTAGGAGAGACCAAAGACACGATGCAACTCAGAAAGAAGAGAGGGGTATTTTGGCTCCCAGTGAACGTGGTGAAAGAAAGTGAAAGGGTTGAAGACCCAGACGTGTTAGCAGCTACGAGGGCTGCTAAGAAGACGGTGCCAGCAAAGGCGCTGGCAGGTGAAGGCGAGGAGCCTGGTGAAGCGGGTGACTCCGCTCAGCCGGGCCAAAGCTCAAGTGCGGGCGGCCCCGCCGATGCGGGGAGTTCCGCTGCGAACCCTGGTGCGGGTAACTCCGCCGGTGCAGGGAGTTCTACTGACGGCCCTGGCGCGGGTGGCCCCGCCCAGAGGCTTCCGGAGATTGGCGACGTGCCAATGGAAGTGTCTGAGGCCACGCGGCGGCCGAAGACAAAGAAGATCCCGGACACGGTTAGCAAAGCCGAGTTTGACGAGCATATGCTTACGCATCTGCCCATGCGAAGCTGGTGCGATCACTGCATGCACGGCAAGGTGCGTGAGGACGCGCACTCAGCTCGAGAGCCCAGCGGTCGCGCGTCGGAGGTGGCGCGCATCTCCCTGGACTACTGTTTTCTGGGACGGGCCTTGAAGGGCCCAGTGAACTCCGTGGAGGAGGTCAAGGTGCCTCAGGATGAGAAGGATGGTCTCCTTCCCATTCTGGTGATCGTGGACGAAAAGTCCGGTTGTGTTTTCTCTGGTGTGGTGGCTAAGGGCGTTAACCCGTATGCCACTGGATTGGTGACTGAAGCGCTCAAGTTCTGCGGGCGCCAAAAGGTCATCATGATGAGCGATGCTGAGCATAGCATCCGGGCACTTGCTGAAAGTGCCGCCAAGTCCTGGACTGGCAGCGTGCAGCACCAGACTGCACCGAAAGGTTCTCACGCATCTAACGGCGCGGCCGAGCGAGCCATTTTGGAGCTGGCGCGTCAGGTGCGAACTCTTGCGAGCGCGCTGGAGAATCGCTACAAGAAGCCCCTGGAGACTGAGGGGGTTGTCTTTCCGTGGTTGGTGCGGCACGCAGGGTGGCTCATCTCCCGTTTCTTGGTGAAGCAGGACGGGAGAACACCTTACGAAAGGCTTCGAGGCCGGGACTTCCGCGGTGAAGTTGCTGAGTGCTGCGAGGTCGTGCACTACAAGCTTGACAAAGAGAAGACTGGCAAGCTGGACAAGCAAACGTCAGTTGGAGTTTGGCTAGGCAAGTCTCTTGCCTCCGACGAGCACTTCCTGGGCACTGCTCAGGGGATCCGTCGGTGCAGAAGCATCTGGCGAAGGCCAGAAGAGAAGAGGTGGGAGCTGAAACACCTCGAGGGGATGGTTGGGCTTCCCTGGCAACCGCGCGGAGAGCCAACCACCGTGCCTTCAGACAACAAGGCCCCAGCGACTCCAGGTCGCAGGCAGCCCTCGGTGTATATCACCTTGGAGCGTCAGATCAAGCACGGCAAGACACCCGGATGTCCTGGCTGTGAGTGTGACGATGACAACCCAAAGCGGCACAACGACGAGTGCCGTAAGAGGTTCGAGAAGTTGTACCCGAGGCAACCGGTGCCAGGAACGCCTGGTACACCAGTCCCTGGGACGCCTGCGGGACCCATGGAGACTGAAGGAGGTCAGGCCGAGATGCCCAGGGCACCGGCCAAGACTTGGAGTCGGGAAGCACCGAGCCGAGTCAGCCTTCAAGGCCAAGGGCCATGGAGGGGACCTCTGAGGCTAAGTCAGGCCAGAAGCGAGAGGTTGAGGATGCGGGTGTCCCCGCTCCTTCAAGTGACAGCGGGCAGCGCCGCGTTACTGGAAAGAGCTCACAAGGAGCGAAGAAGCAGAAGACGCCAGAAGCAAGAGGTGAAAAGCGTCCTCTTGAGGACCAGGAGTTGATGGGGGGACTGCCCACGCTCCACGAGAAAGGCGAGTGGGAGCCTTTGTTTGCTTACCCTCTGGACGGCAGAGTGGAGGAGCTTGGTGCCTACGACGAGCGAACAGGCCAGCCCCTTCCCGTTGACAAGGTCAAGACTGCAAGAGGGCGCGAGCTGGACAAGATGGAGGAACACTCTGTCAAGAAGGACATCTCTTGGGAGGAGGCGCGACGGCAGGGACTAAAGATAGTCCGAAGCCGGTGGGTGGATGGTTGGAAACCATTGCCCAATGATCCGAATGGGGTGCGCAGCCGCTGCGTAGCCCAAGAGATCAACGACCACGAGCGCGACGACGTTTTCAGTGGAACACCGCCGTTGCGGACGCACCGCATGGTACTTTCAGCTGCAGCCACTGCAAAGACTGGCAGGACCAACCGGCGCAAGCTTATTGCCCGGTATGATGTTTCTGTTGCCTTCTTTCATGCGGTGGCCACGGGCAAAATTGCGGTCGTCCCTCCGAAAGATCTCGATCAATCGAAGCTCTGGTACTTGCTCAAAGCCATGAATGGCACACGTGAGGCTTCGCGACAGTGGTCAAAGCGCGTGTGTGAGGTCATGACGGAGGCAGGTTTCTGGGAGGTTCCAGGAATCCCTGGCCTCTTCTACCACGACGAGTGACCTTGAGCTGCCACGGCGACGACTTTATCGCTGAGGGCGAAAGCGACGATCTGGATCGACTGGATGCGCTGATGATGCAATCCTTTGAGAGCAAGATATTGCCACGGATTGGCCCTGAGGAGTTCGGAGGCCAGACCACGCATGGCGATCATCTGCACCGCATCATTCGATGGAGCGAGCGCGGGTTCACTTGGGAAGCTGATCCTAAGTACTCGCGGCAGATCGTTGAGGAGCTCGGGCTTACGGACGCTAAGAGCGCAGACGCCCCATGTTCTACGGAATGTGGGAAAGGCCGCAGGGATCTCGAAGATCCTTTGGACACTGAGGCTGCAGCGAAGTTCCGGAGACTCGCTGGTACTGCGCTTTACCTGTCCCAGGATCGCCCGACGATCCAGTATGCCTTGTCGGAGATCACCTCTGGCATGGCAAAGCCTACGGTTGAACACGAGCTCAAGCTCAAGCACCTAGGCCGTTACCTTCTGAAGTACCCGAAGGAAGTTTGGCACTACGAGTACCAGGAGCAGCCTGAGGAAGCTGTGGTGCTTACGGACTCGGACTGGGGAGCGTGCAAGCGCACGCGCAAGTCTATGTCCAGCTACACTGAGAGATTTGGGAAGCATCTCATCGATGCTTCGTGTGCCAAGCAATCAGTGATAGCGCTCAGCTCTGGAGAGGCTGAGTTTTACGCGTTGGTGCGAGGAGCTGCCGCCGGACTGCTGACAGCGCAGATCTGGGAACGGATTGGGTTTAAGGGTTTGAAGCTTACCCTGAGAACCGATTCGAGCGCAGCGAAGGGAATCGCGACACGCAAGGGCTCGGGCAAGGTGAAGCACTTGTCCATGAAGGAGCTTTGGATACAGGACTGTGTTCAGAGAAAGCAGCTTACGGTGCAGAAGGAACCTACGAAGAGTAATTGGGCTGGGCCGACTTGGGCACGAAAGCTCTTTCAGGCTCAAGAGTGACAGAGCTAGTCAAGGGCATGCCTCTCACAAGGGGCTTGGTCATGGCGTGCCTGTTCGCGTCCTTTGGCGTGGCTACGGGGCAGCCGAAGGAGCGCCAGCTCGAGACTGAAGACGTTTCCTTCTTCATCTACATGCTGATCATCCATATCTTGGCGATCCAGACCATTTGGCGATGGATCAAGTTTGCGTTTGTGTGGTGGACCACGCCACGTGTTTCAACGAAGCCGGCCCCTACAGCTGGAGGCCGCGTGGACCGACGAGGTCTAGAGGCGAATGCGGGTAGCCCCGTCTACGTCACCCGTAAGGGCAAGAAGTTTCATAGGAGACACTGTAGACACCTGGGCCAAAACCCGTACACGTTGCAGAGGGCTGAGGCTACGCAAAGAGGCTTTGGTCCTTGTACAGACTGCAACCCGTGAGTAGTGCAGGTCAGCTGTCCAGCTCAAGGATTCAGCTGGCCATGGAGGGGTGTCAGGATATAAAGCATGTTCTGACTACTGCCGTTGTATAGCTGTACTTGGTAGCCCCTTTTGGCACGAGGTGAGTAAAATAAGTAGCCTGTGCCTGCGGTGTGTGTGGTTTGAGGGTTAACCTAAACCCTTGCACAACTCCTAAACTTCACCGACACCCAACACCCAAAAACCTGCAACCCTTTCCAAACCCAACACGTTGTAGAGCCAGACCAGCACTTCTCCAGATCCCCAGCAGCCACCTCGATTTCGCTTCACTCTGATCCAGCGCTTGCAGAGTCTATTGTTTGCGATTTACAGCTAGTTTAGGGTTCAGGGTTCGTAGGGGAGGCGGAGGAGGAGGAGGAGAATGGCCCACAGACGTTACTGCGGCCGTCAACCCACTTCCCCCCAAGCATCTCCGAGAGGCTCCGTAGTTGTCATAGCCACTCTCCGCGAGGGGTTCGAGAGGGCGGGTATCTGATGCAGCCAAGTTCCACAAAAGAAGTGGAATGGTAGGGGATTGGAATAGGAGCAGAAGCCTACAAGGAGGACGGAATCAGAAAATGGCAACAGCCCCAAACAGCGCGAGGCCGGGGGGTCTGGCAGTACAAGATAGCCAAGGACAGAGAATGGGAGGCGAGGATTCCACGGAACTTGCATAAAATGGCACTGACCCAGAGCCCCAATCTCTAGATTCGGATAACAGCAGCAAACCTACAAACGGGAAAGGAAGGTGAAGAGCCTGCGGATCTTGTGAAAGATGACAACCCCACAAATCTCGCACCATGTAAACAACCAAAAATTGGTGCGAGAAGGTGGTCTGAAATAACGAAAAGAAACCAACCACAGGGAAAGGGGTGAAAGGCTCGCGTAGCTAGACTGCATCAACCCGGGTTCGCAAGGTACCCTAATTCCAAAAGCCGCAATGCAAAACCCAAGGGGACATCGACCACTTCTCCCAGACGCTCTGCGAGCGCTGAAGTGCGCTTGCCAGCAAGCAGATGTCGGGTTCGGGCTTAAGAGCCATAGACTCTGAATGCTACATGCTTAGGGTTTGCTGGACTGTGGGCTTTGTTCATTGCAAGCTCACTCAGCCGTGCAACTCGGGGCTGAGCCTGAATGCCAATGCGAAGCTAAACCTCAGATGCTCAACCCCAAACACCATAAACCTTGAGGCCCTAAACCGGAGACCATCCGCAGGTACATTGTGCACAAGACCGGCGCAGGCTGCAGCCTTACGGGGTCAGAATTCAGCGATTAGGATGCTTGGATTCATTCATGGGGTTTTGGGACTTTAAGTCTGTGCGCTAAGAGGGAGCTCGGTTTGGGGCGCGGGTCCTTGATTCGGTTCTCTTTCGGCCGCCGTGCTTTCGCAGTTGAGGTGTGGGTCTTGGCTGGATGCATCTTCGCATCCAGTTTCACAGCATGGATTTGACAGCCAAAGTATGAGAACTACGCCTGGCCTAGCCAGTGGGTCCAGCAAAGAACTCAGCGAGGAGAAGAAAGCTGCAAAGACCTTCCGATTTGCAGCTTGTAGGCTTTTATGTGCAAGTTCAGGAATCATCTCGTTTGCTTCACTTGCCCCGGCTCGGCTTCCCTAGACGTTCCGATCCTTTTCTACAAGATCTATGCTGCTAGCTCAGATCGTGGAAGCTATATCGTGGAAGCTATATAAGTATATAAAGAACAAGGCTTTAGGTTTGGTGTTTTGGGTTCGGGGCTCGACGAGATGCAGACATGCGTGGTCATCCCAACAAGTGATTTCTTTCGGTTGGTGGGTCGCTTGAGGGTTTTGTCAGGTGGGAGCGCATGGGTTGCAGATTAATCCCTCAAGCTACAACCCCGAGATACGAGAACAACCACTCACAGGTCAAGATGTATCTCGCGATGTGACGTCAAAGCTACAGCTCGACATTCGCGGCAATCAATATGGCTTGCAGAGGGGTTTAGAGACGGAGGATTTGGGACTCGTGTGTACATACTTAGATCCTTCAAGCTTTGCTTTCGACACACGGCCCGCAAGCCGCACACACCCTGATTACTCGTGCTTGACGGCGCGTGCCCCAGACCACCATCCTCTAAACCCCTAAGTCCCAAGTCCTGAACCAAATTCCTGCCCAACACGACACAGGCCGTACGATCCTACGGCACCCAGGGTTTTTGATTCAACATATGCGACCGAAGACCTGTGCAAAAAGCACTGACGAGTTCGTACCGTACACTCGGAGCCGCCCAACTCTCCCCTGCCCCCAAGAGTTCATCTCATGGGGATTTGTTGTCAAGAAGCCTCCACAGACTGCGCACAAAATCCCTACCTCCCTGAAGCCTTAAATCATTCATGAGCCTAGGGGAATTTCTCAGCAGGGGTACTTCTCAGCCGCTACCGAAGATTTAAGAAGATTGTTGAATTATTTGGAAGATTGTTGAAGAAAAACGAATTATTTGGAAGATTGTTGAAGAAAAATGAATTATTTGGAAGATTATTGAAGAAAAACAAATTATTTGGAAGATTGTGGCAGAAATGCGAATTATGTGAGGGTTTCAATTTGAGGCTTAAACACGGTTTAGGGTTTAGGGCTCATGGTTTAGGCTTCCTGGCACGGCTCGAGGACCTGCCAAAATGGAACACCGAGGTTTAGGGTTTAAAGATTCTAGGTCTAGTATTGGTCAGCTTCGGGGCCCACAAAGTTTAGGGTGCCAACTTCCGAGGTTCAGGGTTTAAAGGTTTAGGGTTTAGGGCTTACGGTTGTTCGGGTCTAAAGGTGTAGGGTTTAGGGTTTAGGGTTTGGGTGAAAACACCCACTTTGTGGGAGTACTAGAGTTGAAAACAAATATGAGTAATCGAGTAGTGAAGTAATAGAGTAATAGAATAATAGAGTAGTAGACTAATAGAGTACTAGAGTATTTGAGTAATAGAGTAATAGAGTAATAGAGTAATAGAATAATAGAGTAATGGAGTAACAGAGTAATAGACTATGTGTGTGGAAAATTGAAACCCTTTGCTATGTTCGCGAAGCGAGGAAATTTTTTTGTTTTTTATGCAAAATTCATGCAAATGCTTTTGGTGCGAGTGTCTGGAGCAAGCCTTGTAGTGTGTGTGGAGTACTAGAGTCGAAACCAAATATGGATGTTCGCGAAGCGAAGGAAATTTTTTGTTTTTTTATGCAAAATTCATGCAAATGCTTTTGATGCGAGTGTCTGGAGCAAGCCTTGTAGTGTGTGTGGAGTACTAGAGTTGAAAACAAATATGGATGTTCGCGAAGCGAGGAAATTTTTTTTTTTTTATGCAAAATTCATGCAAATGCTTTTGGCGCGAGTGTCTGGAGCAAGCCTTGTAGTGTGTGTGGAGTACTAGATTGGAAAACAAATATGGATGTTCGCGAAGCGAAGAAATTTTTTGTTTTTTTATGCAAAATTCATGCAAATGCTTTTGATGCGAGTGTCTGGAGCAAGCCTTGTAGTGTGTGTGGAGTACTAGAGTTGAAAACAAATATGGATGTTCGCGAAGCGAGGAAATTTTTTTGTTTTTTATGCAAAATTCATGCAAATGCTTTTGGTGCGAGTGTCTGGAGCAAGCCTTGTAGTGTGTGTGGAGTACCAGAGTTGAAAACAAATATGGATGTTCGCGAAGCGAGGAAATTTTTTGTTTTTATATGCAAAATTCATGCAAATGCTTTTGGTGTGAGTGTCTGGAGCAAGCCTTGTAATTAGTGTGTGTGGAGTACTAGAGTTGAAAACAAATATGGATGTTCGCGAAGCGAAGAAATTTTTTGTTTTTTATGCAAAATTCATGCAAATGCTTTTGGCGCGAGTGTCTGGAGCAAGCCTTGTAGTGTGTGTGGAGTACAAGAGTTGAAAACAAATATGGATGTTCGCGAAGCGAGGAAATTTTTTGTTTTTTTATGCAAAATTCATGCAAATGCTTTTGGTGCGAGTATCTGGAGCAAGCCTTGTAATTAGTGTGTGTGGAGTACTAGAGTGAAACCAAATATGGATGTTCGCGAAGCGAAGAAATTTTTTGTTTTTTATGCAAAATTCATGCAAATGCTTTTGATGCGAGTGTCTGGAGCAAGCCTTGTAGTGTGTGTGGAGTACTAGAGTTGAAAACAAATATGGATGTTCGCGAAGCGAGGAAATTTTTTTTTGTTTTTTATGCAAAATTCATGCAAATGCTTTTGGTGCGAGTGTCTGGAGCAAGCCTTGTAGTGTGTGTGGAGTACTAGAGTTGAAAACAAATATGGATGTTCGCGAAGCGAGGAAATTTTTTGTTTTTTTATGCAAAATTCATGCAAATGCTTTTGGTGCGAGTGTCTGGAGCAAGCCTTGTAGTGTGTGTGGAGTACTAGAGTTGAAAACAAATATGGATGTTCGCGAAGCGAGGAATTTTTTTGTTTTTTATGCAAAATTCATGCAAATGCTTTTGGCGCGAGTGTCTGGAGCAAGCCTTGTAATTAGTGTGTGTGGAGTACTAGAGTTGAAAACAAATATGGATGTTCGCGAAGCGAGGAAATTTTTTGTTTTTTATGCAAAATTCATGCAAATGCTTTTGGCGCGAGTGTCTGGAGCAAGCCTTGTAGTGTGTGTGGAGTACTAGAGTTGAAAACAAATATGGATGTTCGCGAAGCGAAGAAATTTTTTTGTTTTTTTATGCAAAATTCATGCAAATGCTTTTGTGCGAGTGTCTGGAGCAAGCCTTGTAGTGTGTGTGGAGTACTAGAGTTGAAAACAAAATATGGATGTTCGCGAAGCGAAGAAATTTTTTTGTTTTTTTATGCAAAATTCATGCAAATGCTTTTGATGCGAGTGTCTGGCGTCTGGAGCAAGCCTTGTAGTGTGTGTGGAGTACTAGAGTTGAAAACAAATATGGATGTTCGCGAAGCGAGGAAATTTTTTTGTTTTTTTATGCAAAATTCATGCAAATGCTTTTGGTGCGAGTGTCTGGAGCAAGCCTTGTAGTCTTCCCTGTT